TACATTTTCTTCTAGGAGTTTTATAGTTTTAATTTTTACACTGAGGTCTATGATCTGTTTTGGTTTGATTTTTATATCTGGTATGCCTGTATATATTCAGTTGTTCTAACACTATTCATTGAAAGACTATTCTTTGCTCTGTTGAGTGGCCTTGGTACCCTTATTGACAGTCAATTGACTATAAATATAAAAGTTTCTTTCTGGGCTTTCAATTCTATTCTCCTAACCTACATGTCTGTCCTTATACCAGCAAGGATTGCTGTCTTAATTACTTCTGCTTTGCAGTTAGTTTTGAAATTAAGAAGTGAAATTCTGAGCCCGGTAGTGCATGCCTGTAATCCCAGCCACTTGGGAGGCTGAGGCAGGAGGATTTCGAGTTCAAAACCAGCCTCTGCAACAGCTAGGCGCTAAGTAAATCAGTGAAATCCTGTCTCTAAAAAAAAAATACAAAATAGGGGTGGGTATGTGGCTCAGTGGTTGAGTGCCCCTGGGCTCAATCCCTCATTACTACCTGCCCCCCCAAAAGAAGTGTCAATCTTCCAATTTTGCTGTTTTCACTACTTGGGGTCCCTTGTAATTCCACATGAAATTTAGGGGGAAGAGAAGAGCCAGCTGGATTGTGACACAGATTGGCACAGATTGCATCAAATCTTTAGACCCATCTGGAGAGTATTGCCATCTTACTAATATGAAGTTTTGATTTATGAACATGGTATGTCTCTTCATTTCTTTAGTTCTTTCATTTCTTTCAAGAGTGCTTTGTAGTTTTCATTCCACGAATCTGGCACATTAAATTTATTCTCAGTAAATTTCACTCTGAAGTGCTATTATAAATTGAATTGTTTTTTTAATCCTGTTTCAGATTTTTCATTACTATCATATAGAAATACAATAGTCTGACAATTTTTCTAGTTGATTCCTTAGCATTTTTGATATGTAAGATCATGTCATCTGCAAATAGAGATTGTTTGGCCTCTTTTCAATCTGATGACTTTTGTTTTTTGTGTGCTAACTAATTGCTTTCGTTAGAACCTCCAATGGACTGTTGAATAGAAGTGGTAAGAACTGAAGTCATCATCTTGTTTCTGGTCTGTGGGAGGAAACCACCTAGGTTTTTGCCAGAAAGTAGGATATTAGCTGTGGGTTTTCATAGGTGCCCTTTATCAGGTTGAGGTCGCACCCAGTTTTTAGGGTTTTGGTTTTGCTGTGTGAATCATGCCCTTGGACATCCAGAGCCTTCCCCCGGTGCTCCTCCCTCGGCCACATCATTCCAATGACAAGGAGGTCACTGTGAAGGTGCGGCCTCCAGAAATGACCAACACTCTCCAGGTGATGACTGGTCACAGTGCGGGGCAGTGTGCATGGGCAGGCACAACTGTCCCTTCATCAAGCTGTGACACTCCTGCTGGTGGAACCCGGTGTAGATCTGGCTCTTTGGCAACTAAGATCAGTGCGGATCCTTTTATGAACTACATCTACCCTCACCCCTGTCAATCCGAAGCCCCCGTCTTTAATAACTTTTGACTGAGATGTAGCACAGCGATGGTCAATTTCATGTGTCCACTCAGCTTGAGCACGATACCCAGGTATTGGGTCAACAGGATTCCAGATGTTTCTATGAAGGCATTTTCTAAAAATTTTTTTTTCAGAAGAGATTAACATTTAAGCCAGTAGACTTTGAATAAAGCAGGTTAGATCATCCTCCATAACATTGGTGGGCCTCATGCAGCTAGTGGAGGGCCTTAGCAGAAAAATATCCACCACCCACAGGAAGGAAAACACTTTCCCACAGACAGCTTCACTTTTGCCCTACGACATCAGCCCTTCCCTGGGCCTCCAGCCCACTGCCACCCCCTAAGCTTCCCCCACCCACCAGCAGGTTTAGAACTTGTCAGCCTCCATAATCATGTAGGCCGGATGCTTAACATAAACCAGTTTTCAGTTCCTCTGGTGAGCCCTGATATGCACACTCACACACAAGCACACACACACACACATATATACTTTCACGCACACACAGGTACATATATATATCTGAGTGCACTTAAGTGATACATTTGCACACACACACACACACACACACACGCATGCACGTGTGCACACACATGTCAATACAGTGCCCCGTCTGTAATACCAAGGAAACATAAAAGGGAAGTAATTTACAAGAAATGATGTGTATTTCAATATGTTCTTGGGAACAACTGCCCGGGAAGGCAGGAGGAAAATGTCAGATCCATATCTCTGCATAATGAGGGAGTTTGGATTCCGGGGACGTAAGCAGACCCGTCACCATGACACGCAAGAAGTGCAGGAAAATGGAAGGGACAGGAGGTGCAGGTGGAAATTAAAATAAAACCTGCTGTCAGGGCAGGACATAACAGATTCCACTTATTTGTATGTAATAAGAGGAAGAGAAATCACCTCAGTGGAAGGAGGGAGCACACGCCGGGAGCACGTGCCAGGAGCATTGCAGCCTGTCGGGAGGAGGGATGCTGGCGCACAGGCGGGGTGGCGGTGGGTCCCATAGAAAGAACAGCGTCCTTGGCGGCCCATCCACCAGCAGAGGAAGCCTCTATCTTCAGGGGTTAGAAAGCCCCTTCTGACTACATGCCTCATCAGGCAGAGGCGACAAGTGACAGTCACCAAAAGACACTTTTCATCCAACATCGCAGAGACAGCGTGTGGCACCCTGATGCTGACAATTCCTGAGTCAGATCAGAAAACAATAGGACAGCCCCAAACCAGTCATCCCAGCACACACTTCTCACAGGACAGAATCAGAAGGACCCTCCTTCCAGATATGCAGTGACATTGTTTGTAGCTCTACTATTTGGCTAATAGTTGGTTCTAAAATAATAGTCACATCTCCTCCATCAAATACTGGCGGCTGGTCTTGCTGGTTGCGGGCACCTATCCCTCCAACACTTCCCCTGTGAATCTAGCTGGAGGTGGTCTAATACTTGACCAGACAGGCTGGGCAGAAGGAGAAGACGGTTGGATAGTTGGGTCCCTGTCCTTATTCCTTTTACGCTCCCCTGTGAATAGCAACCTTTCCCTGAGTTGTTGAGTTCTTCCCGTAACTTCTTTCATAAACCTTTCAGGACTGTGATGTACTAAAGCCCGACTGGTTTATATTGGTTTTGAATTTTCACTGGTGGACATTTGAAAGTTGCAGAGGATGTGGGGCAAATTTCTGTTGCATGAGAGTGTTCTGTGCTTTATCAGATGTCCAGGATCCCTATTCTCGCACCCAAAATGTCACTAGAGCCCCTACTGATTATGGCAGCCAAAAATGACTTTAATTTATAAAATATCCCCCAGAGAACTGCTGATTTCAACCCACGTCGAATCCTGTTCTCTTTGCACAGAGCCAGTGCATGATGTTTGAGCCTAAGAATACTACTGATAGATATTCTCTCTTAGGAAGTTTCATCTTCTTCTATTCAGCTATCCGTCCGGCTGACCAAGGTCTTCAGACAGCCTGGCTTCCTGTGGTGAGCTGACACTTGGCATCCCCTGGCTTCTGGCTCTGTGTCGACCTCACAGGATGCACTAATGTGTCGTCAACTTGTTCTTAGGAAGCTTTAGTGTTAGGAGCACAGCAGGATAGGAAGGGTGCAACTCAGAACAGGGGAGGGACTTGCCCAGAATCCCCAGGTGAGTCAGTCAAAGCCAGACCATCGCAGTCTGCCCCGCACTGACGCCTGATCCAGGCCCCAGGGGTTTTAAATTCCTCTGGTGGAGACTCAGCAACTCAGAGTAGGCCACGCTCTAATCTGGCCTAAAAAGGGGTGGAATCCAGGGGCCTGCCCCAGCCAAGCGTGCGGTAGCCACAAGCCTATTTTGGCATCTGGCTTGATGCCAAAGAATGGGCGGGGAGCCAGCACTTTGTGGAGAGCCCAGGGTGAGTGGCCTCAACTGATCAGCAGCTGCCCACTCAGGCATCTGGGATGGGGTAGAGGCTAGAGCCCCACATGGACCGCCTATGCTCCAAAGCAGGGACCTCACCTCTTCTGTCCTCCAGGGCCTCAGTTTTCCTATCTGTAGAGTGGGAGTGGTCACTCCTCCTTTGATCACCTTCCAGAGATATTATAAGGGTCCCACAAGCAAGACTAGACTCGTAGGCTTTCTAGAACATTCCAAAGACATTGTATTGTTCTGAGAGCACCATCAGAGGAGTGTGAGCAGAGCAGAGAAGTCGTCTGCCTTGGGTTCGAGCAGGACGTTCTGAATGCTGTGCAGGGAGCTCACGTTGAGGGGAGTCTCAGAGCTGATGGACAGGAGAGGGTGCTACTGCAGTGATCCAGGCGCAAGTGAGAGCGGGGGCTGGGGAGACAGTGAGCTTCACCCCAAAACTGAGAGAGAGCATGGGAGGTGAATGCAGGGTGTTGACCCAGCAGGGGACTTGTCATGGGGGGGGAAGGCTGCGGGAGCCTGGGACGTGTGACGTGAATCGCCTCAGACGTCCAAGTGGGAATGTCAGACGCTCGTCATTAAATTAAGAAGCCCCGGGGCCACTCCCCAGTTAGCGGGTGACCCGATGGATGCACTGGACTTTCAGAGCAACACCGCTTGGTCAGGAGGCAGGAGGATGGAAAGTTCGAGAAGCAGCAGCTGAGCAAAGAGTGAGACCAGAGTCCCAGAAGGCCCACACGGTCATGCTGGACCAAGCTGTGTTCCATCCTCCTGCCTCCTGACCAAGTGGTGTTGCTCTGAAAGTCCAGTGCATCCATCGGGTCACCCGCTAACTGGGGAGTGGCCCCGGGGCTTCTTAATTTAATGACGAGCGTCTGACATTCCCACTTGGACATCTGAGGCGATTCACGTCCCACGTCCCAGGCTAAACCAGCGGCTCCCGCTGCCTTCCCACCCCATGACAAGTCCCCTGCTGGGTCAACACCCTGCATCCTCCTCCCGTGCTCTCTCTCACACCCACTCTCGGTTTTGGGGTGCATCTCACTGTCTCCCCAGCCCCCGCTCTCACCTTGCACCTGGATCATCGCAGTAGCACTCCCGAGTCGCTGGGATGACAGACACGCACCGCGGCCATGCCCAGCTCGCTGCTCAGCTCCTCAGTACTGGCCTCATCTCCCCCTGCCTCCCCTTGGGCCTCCGCTCCAGCCCCACTCCACGGCCGCTGCTTTTGCCCTGCGACACTCTGCGTAGAGCTGGACATACTCAAGGTCACCCCGAGCACCCCTCCCTAGGGAGGCAGAATCCGTCGCTGCTTTTGGGTACCGCTGCACCAGGTGAGTCGGTTCTCTTTAGGTGGGATTTCATGCCCGCAGAAGGCTCTGGAACCATCCTGCCGCTGAAGGGTGAGGAATGATTTGCGAGTCGGTCTCCGAGTCTGCACAGTGGGCACCAGGTCTTCACCTGAGCCGACGGGGAGAGATGAGTGGAGAAAGCCCAGAGCTGCGGCGTCCTGCCTCTGGCTGGGCAGTGGGGCCCCCGAGCTGGTTTCTGGATCCAGCTCGGATTGAGTTGTGCTGGACCCAGCCTGCCCTGTCCTCCGCGTGCCCACATCTCTTAAAGGAGCCCTCCCCCAGTCAGAGACAAACCCCTCCACCGCAGCCCAGGTTCCTTTGCCTGGGAATCTCCTCCTCCCTCCCGCCTTTCTGTCTGACCTGCTGCCCATCTTCCTGGCTTTACTCAGGCCCTTATAAAGTAGATCTTGAAGGCGTGGACTTCTGGACTCCACAGGTGCACGGACCCCAGTGTGAACCACAGGGCATGTGCTGTGCCCCAAACTCTCACTCCTGACTAACTACATGTTCAGTCCCTCAGAGGCACTACCATTTGCCCATTTTACAGACAAGTACACTGAGGACCGGACAGGTTGCAAGGCCAAGTTTGGAGTCAGAAAAAAGCGGCCGTCCAACCCTTACCCACCATGCTCTGTTGTTCAGAGACGTGGCCCTGTGACAGTTAATTCCTAGGGTCACTGCCACAGGCTGCACCCCAGGCTCAAGCCCATGCACACTTCAGGTCCAGGAGAGCCAGGCCTTTTGGGGTGGCCTCCAGGGGAGATATGTCCAGGCAGAAAGCAGGGGAGGCCAAAGTGGGGCCAGGTTGGTGTCAGACAGGGTGACTGAGCCAGGCCAGGGTCACTTGCTGGTACCTCCCACCCCAGCCGAGGCTTGGCTGGGCCCGGGGTGGGGTGAAGCCCTGTGGGCCAAGGAGGGGCTGCCCCCAGAGACAGCCAGGCCCTGGAAAGCAAGCCTCCTCCCTTGGCCAGCTCAGCCTGCCTGGCCCTGCAAGGGCCTTGGTGGCAAAGCCACTGTCCCCAGGACCAAGGCTGGGCTCCTAAGGACTTTCAGCCCCAAGAGCATGTGTCCCCCAGTCTCTCATCATGACCCTCTCCTGATAAGAGACCCTTGTTTTATCCCCAATCACATATTTTGACCCTTTATTTTCCCCAGAGGGAAGAAACGGGCAAAGAGTCCCAGAATGGCGGCCAGGACTTCTAAGCTGAACATTTAACACCAGGGGAAACTGAGGCACCGAGCAGGGAAGTCACTTATCCAAGATCAGCCGAGGAGCAAAGGGTGGCCCTGGGACTAGAACCGCGGTCGGACAGTCCCCCTCTCCACAGCACCACTGCGACTCCCAGAGAGGGTGGGGGAGACTGGGTGGGACCTGCTTGTGCTGGGACCCCCCAGAAGGGAGTGTGACCATCACCCTCCAGCCCTGCAGACGCTGCCACGGTGCCAGAGCCCGCACTGTCTTTCACAACGAGAGGTTTGGCTCAGGGCCCTTCAGGGGATGAAAACCATTTTCTTAGGAAAAGGAGAAACCAAAAGAAAACGCAATCAGACAAACCCACGATGGGCAGGCCCCCGCCACCCGCCGACATCTGAGCCACAAACTCAGACGGGGAAATCCGAGGTGACCTGGTGTCCTAATCCATTTGTTCGTTGGCTCATCCGGTCGCAGGGAGGGCTTCCAGGAGGAGGTGACCCTGCATTGGCTCTGAAGACTCTGTAGGAGTTACCCTGGTGGCCAGAGTGTGGTTTTCTGATAACAGAGGGATTGACCTAAGTGAGGGCGTCAGGCGTTACTGGAGGAGGAAGTGACGTCGGAACTGAGAGCGAGAAAGGAAGAGGCACAGCAGAGGCTGTGGGATGGCCGGTGGCCCAGGACTCCCCTGGTGGCCCCTTGGCCCCAGAAGCCCCTGTTCAGGACACCTGGGCGGAGCCCCGTTTCCTCATCTGCACAGAACGCAGAGGGAGCGCTGACCCCCAGACGCCCACTGAGAAAGGAGGGCAGCGGCCATGGCAGAACTCTCTGGGCCCTCTGTCCCTGTGACCTCGAGCCTTCCTCTCTTTGCCCTCTGTGGTCAGACTGTGACCTCTCGACTTATCAGCCTGTCCCTCAGGGCCCCACTCAGTGCCTGGGTTGCACAATGACTGCCAGTTCCTGATGGGGCACCCAGCTCGGGCGGGCTCCCTCCAGGCCAGACAGTCTTTGTGGCCTGCTTAGGAAAGGTCAGCCCATAGGGACACTGACCTGGGGTCAGCGCTTTGACAGTGTTCTAGAAACAGTTCCATTTCTGGAGAAAAGCTGGCCTTGGTGACAGCAAGACTGGTGTGGGTTCTGGACTCGTGCTGCGTGTCCCCGGACAGCCTGTCATATCACGGTCATGACCTCTCATCCTTCTGAGGCCTCTGCACCCTCAACATTTAAAGCAATCATTAATTTGACAAATGTTTGCCGAGTCCCTATTACGTCCCAGGGGCTGGGGGAGACCGCAGAAGCCCTGCCAGCCAGGGGCTGACATTCTGCCCAAACAAACAAACAAGCAAACAAAAGACACGTGGGACATCTTACACAATGGATGGTGACTAGTATGTCCCCAGAGAGGGTCGGAGGGCTGAATGACAGGGAGGTTTAGGAAAGGCCTCAGGGAAGTGGGACAGGGAACCACTGCTTCCCTCACTGGGGTAGTGTGTCCCAAGCCCAGGGAATGCAGGACACCAGGTGGCACTGTGCTTGAGGCCTGACTGGAGCCCGGGCCAGTGAAAATGGAGAATGAGTTAGGATGCACACCAGGGAGTGTGTGTGTGTGTGTGTGTGTGTGTGTGTGTGTGTGTAAGACACAAGCAGAGGGAGAGACAATCAGACTCCTGGTTTCCCTCTTTTTTTTTGCCACCGCCCCTCTTCCTGGCATTAAAGTTAAGAGGGAAAACCCACAGATGATTAAATGATTTCAATGTGACGTGAAAGGACGCCTCCCTGAGCACATCAGGGAACTCCATGCAATTAACATCACAAATGAGGGGAAGCCGCCAGGTGGAGGGCTCACTTCTCTGGGGTTCCAGCTCCACTCTCGCCCCTCCCTGAACGTCAGAAACTTCCATGAGGGCCTTGGCCTGCCCCTGGCCGGAGCGGGAACCGTTACTGCCCTGTTTTGTGAAGAGAAATTGAGGCCTGGAGAGAGGGAGGAGACGGGGACCCAGATCTCCTTATGGTTTTTTCCTGGAAAACATTCACCCTGGCCCCTGGGGAGGTGGGAGCTGCTCCAAGGGCTGCAGCTGACCACGGCCTCCCAGTGGCCTCTAGGGCAGCACTGAGGGCGACTCTTTCCCATAAGGGGCCGGGTGGCTGGTTTGGTAGAGCAGGCCCCACTCTGCCCTTGTGGTTTGAAAGCAGCTACAGATGATATGGAAGTGAGTGCGACTGGGTGACCATGAAAACTTACTTATTTCTAAAATCAGGTAGTGGACCTGTCACCGGGAGAGATCTGAGGAGTTCCAGGAGAGGGGGACCTCGAGTCGGGACAAGTTGGGTCTTGGAAAGAATCTCGGCACATGCCAGTCCGAGGCACCGACAGATGTGTTCAGGAAGGGAGAGCGCGGGTGATTTCAAGAGAGAGGCCTTTTAGGGTCAAGCAAGGAAGATGTATTCAAGGGAGATCGAGGACCATCTCAAGGGCAAGAGGGGCTTTGGGGTTCTGGGACATGGGAAGGTGTGTGAGGATGACATCAGTCTGGTCGTTCTGGGGACCCTTAGGCTGAAGTGTCCTCCGTGATCTGATCTGTAGATACTTCTCTTAAAATGTCATCTCGCTCTTTGCCTCATCTATTTATTGCCCGAGCTGATGGACAGCCCCAGGGTGATTTTCGTAAGTGGATATATTTAGGGTAACTGGAAGGTTTACAGATTTCCCAGAAATGTAGAAATGGCTGAGCTGGGAGAGGGACCAGCTTCAGGGATGACGGGCCTGGAAATGCCTGCAGAAGCCACTGAAAATCACGTTACCTGTCCTTCCCTTTGTCCCCTTTCCTGGGTTTTGTTTTTAATTTCTCCTAGCCTACCTCTGGCCGCCCCAGGCTGCAGCCTGCCGAGGGCTGTAGGGAATCTGACCTGTCAGAGATTCCGGGCTGCAGGGCACTCAGCCACCGAAGGCTGGGGCCTGGGCAGGTCCCTCCTCCCTCGAACCTGTTTTTTTCTGAACAATGAGGGAATGTCTGAGAGAGGCCTGCCATGATGCGATGCTGCAAGGGCAAGGAAGCCACCCACTGTGGGGGTGGCCTGGGAGCTCAGGCAGCTCAGCCCCAGCGAGGACCCGGGACCTGGTACCCTCCTTGCACTCTAATGTCCTGGTGCGAGACCAGCACGGGTTCTGTGAGTCAGGAGTCAACCAGACAGGGCACAACCAGAGGCAGGGTGTCGCGGTCTGTGACGTCACGTCTGTGATTGCCGGCTGAGTCAATCCCCGGAGGCTGGGATTATCCCAAAGCAACAATGTCGCTTGCAGATCCGGGGACTGATGCTGGCTGATACCGGGGAGCTCTCTGGGCTGTTGGCCAGATCACCTCCATGTGGCCCCTGGGTGGCCTCTCTGCATGCATTAGCTTGAGCTTCCCCACAGCATGGTGGCCGGGTTCCAAGAGAGCAAAAGGCAAAGTCATTTTTGTGACCTAGCCTCGGAAGCCACTGTGTCATTTTTGTTACTCTAGTGTCAAAATAGTCAAAAAGGAAGGGATCATACACCCCCCACCCCCAGCTCAACAGGAGAGTCAAGGTCACATTGTAAGGAAACCATGTGGGCTGGGAGACATGGTCGCCTCATCTTTGGAAGGTATGATCTACCCCCTGGGGTGGGAGGGACCCAGAGCCTTGCTTCATTGGTGCACAGCAGCATCCGTCCTGTGACCAGCGACCTCCTGAAGACTCAGGCAAGCCTCCTCTGTCCAAGTCCGATGGCTTAGTCTGGTTCCCGTGCAGAGCGGGTCCTGGGCCGTCCGTGGCAATGTGATATCAGCAGTGAGACTGGTTAAGCCTTTTCCCAGCAAACGACGAAGGAAACAAGGCAAACAGCCCCCACCCACGCCACTTCTCCGTGACCCCGGCAGTGGCAGAGTGTTGCCAAGCAGATGGGGGAATGGTGACACAGGCCAGCTGCGAAAGGCCTCCCCAGCCAAGAGGCCTTTGTGTGTCGAGGGCCAAGGGCGGAGCCAGAGGCCTGGCCTGGCCCGCGGAGCAGGGACCCTTAGAGGGGAGCTGAGGGGAACATGGCCCTGCTAGGGGCCAGGGCACACCAGGGTCACACAGCTGCGAGCAGACTGCAGAGCAGAAGAATCCTTAGGATCAGGGCTGCTGAGCCTCCGTTAGATTACCAATGGCCCCTGGTCCGGCTCCTTCCAGAACTCCTCCTCTTCCTCCTCTTCCTCCTCCTCCACTGCCTTCCAACCCTTTCCCCAGCAATAGAGTGACCTGGGGACTCCCCGGGGCTTGCCTGGGGACTCAGGAAGGTAGCAGCAGATCTGGGACTTGAGCTGGGGCCCTGGCCCTGCGACCTTCCACTGAGGTGGTCCTGCAGAGGCCTCTCGGGATTCAGAATCCCTTGTCAATGGGTCTAATTCTTTTTTTAATATTTATTTTTTAGTTGTAATTGGACACAAAATCTTTATTTTTATTTATTTTTATGTGGTGCTGAGGATGGAAGCCAGGGCCTTGCGCGTGCTAAGTGAATGCTTTACCGCTGAGCCCCAGCCCCAGCCCCAGGGGATCTAATTATTAATAACCACGCCACCTTAGGGCACGTCGTGTGCTGAGCATTGCACGTGTGGCCTCACCCAGCCCCACCACAGCCCTGAAGGCTCAGACTCTCGCAGTTTCTCTACGCGTCAGAGGAAGAAATGTGCCTTACGCAAGGACCAGCTGAGTTGGGGTGAGACCTGAAGCCTGGCGCATGCTGAGGGCATAGTGCAGGGGGCCCTTGCTGAGGGTCCTGGGGATGCGGGCACTTCCCAGCCCCTGTCCAGACACATGGGAGCTTCCAGATGATTGACAACCAGGACTCCCAGGGGACCCACCTGGATGAAGCTGCCCTGGTAGGGGTTCCTGGAAAGTTTGGAGGCAGGTGGGTCCTGCAGGTACCCCATCTGGAGTCAACCTGGCAGGTAGAGCCAGGATAGGTGCCCCATTTAACAGATGGGCAAACCAAGGCCCAGAGAGGAAACCAGGTCACCCTCCATTGGAGGAGTCGTGGGTGGGAGCAGCTGCAGCTGGGCGCTAGCTGCTCATATCCTGCCCACGGCTCCTTCCCCAGGGTGAGCTAGATGCGTGGGAACCACGAGCATCGGGGAAAGGCCAGCAGCTCCTCCCTGCAGATTTCAGCTGTCAGACAGCCCATGACTCATCCCCAATCCCAGTGGCCCTAAGGCTGCCTTGGCCTCAACCTTTCTGCCTCAGCCTTGCTCTTTGGCAGTGAGGTAGGCATCAGGCCACCTGCTAATGCCCAGGGAACATTGTTCTTCGATACAAGTATCAGATGGGTAAAGTGGCCATGTCAGTTGCTGGAACACTGTGGGGCGGGGAGATTAATGATTATACGCGATTATACAGGGGCAGCAGGCATTGTGGGGACTGTCCATGGCCAACAGAGGTATCTGGTCATCTTACTGAATAGTCATTGTTTAACTCAAAGCATTAGAAGCACTAATGTCAGACACTCAGGCAACGGCCACAGGTCAGGGTTAAAGGTTTCTGGGGCAGGTACATTTTGGAGAATTCCTCAAGTCCTGAGGCACCCGGAGGGGGAGTCAAGTCTATGTGCAGAGGGAGAAATGAGATCATCTGGGCTCACATCCTGCTCGTCCCTCTCATGGGCTGTGTGAGCTCAGGTATGTTACTTAATTTCTCTGACTCTCAGCTTCCTCACTGATAAAACTACCATAGGACTGTGGCAAAGAGGAAATGACGTAACCCAAGTCAACTCCCCACAACTGTACAGGCTCAGTAAACAAGAGACCATTATCACTTTGTATTAATTGAATGTTATTATTATTTTTTAAAAAATTTTAATATTTATTTTTTAGTTCTCGGCGGACACAACATCTTTGTTGGTATGTGGTGCTGAGGATCGAACCCGGGCCGCACGCATGTCAGGCGAGTGCTACCGCTTGAGCCACATCCCCAGCCCCAATTGAATGTTATTAGTTAACTACGCTGGTGCTGAGACGGGTGAACCTCAAGGGCTCAGCCACGGTCCTGCCCTCAGGTTATTCACAGTGCCACGGAGTAGAGGCCAGGTTAAAGGCCATGAGAGCCAGGCACGGAGGAGACACGGGGCTGTGGAGTTCAGGGTCACAGGAGGGCCTTTCGCATTTGGGTAGGGGCCTCTGGGTGGGCTTCCTAGAGGAGGTGGTCCCTGGGCCGGGTCTAGTCAGGGCCCTTTGGAAGATAAGTCATTGGATGCT